ACCCTAAAACAATTACAATTCTATTCTCTTACAATTGTAATTCTGCATGAGAAAAGCTGACCACTAGGATAAGAAATTATGCAAATTAAGATATTTTCATTGTTCTGCATCATACTGTACCATTTTTTCAATGTGGCACTTATTTGATGAGTAAAGAAGGGGTAGAAAAGGAAACAGGACTCTTGCAGCATGGCACCGACGGAAATGTTGAGGTGTCAGATGTTTTTGTTCACACATTTTCAATTATTTTGTTCACACATTTTCAATTATTTAGTCATGGTATCTAGAAGCTGCCTTTATTTTTTAAAAGTAAATAAAGTTACTTCTGTGATGTGTCAATTTTTTTCCTGTGTTGATTATCTGCTGTTGCAGTGATCTATCCCACAACAGATTTACTTGTAGTCCCAGAGCCCAGCTGGGAAAGGGTGGCTGGGAAATGGCAGGGGTTACAAGGTAAAATTCTGGGTATATCAATAGCTCTATGAAGTGTGACTTTGAGCAGCTTTATTCAGATTAATACAACAGGATGGGGGAAAGGGTGAAATGCCTGCTTCTCCTTGTCCAGTATTCCTTGCTCCAATCAATCACGGACCCCTGTTCCTATGGCTGCATTTTAGTAAATTAAAGTATCCTGGGAAATCCAATCCCAGATATCCTGCTGTATGGAGAGCCAATGTGGTGCAGTGGTTAAGAGCGTGAGCCTGGGACTCAGGCAACCTGGGTTGCAGTCCCCGCTCAGCCATGGAGCCCACTGGGTGACTTTGGACCAGTCACAGACTTGCAGCCCAACCTACCTCACAGGGTTGTTGTTGCGGGGATAAGACTGAAAGCGGCAGGAAGAGAATGATGCAAACTGCTTTGAGTTCTTTAAAAGAGAGAAGACAGCATATACATCTAATAAGTATGTACACTAAAAAAAGATAATACACAGTCTAGTACAAGGAGAAGGCCCATCACAATAGCAGGGATGCCTTGTCCACTTTGCACAGAGTATTGGAGAAGATCCACTGCACCTCAAGAGGACTCTCTGGCCTTTTCCAGATTTTTGGAGGGCGAGCGCTAAGGGTGCCTTTCTGCATAAGACACTCAGTCAAGGTAAGAGTGATGGTCCCAGTCTGGGAAGATACAGTGAAATCAGTCGTCCTGCTGAAATCAGTCGTCCTGAGACACCCCCACCCCCGCACCCTCTTAGTTCAAAGGTGTGTGGGCACCACTGTTGGATCACACCCTTAATTCACATTTCCTGTGGAAAAGAAAGAAAGGAGAAGGAAATGAGTTCATTTCTGAAACAAACAGTGTGACTAGCAGTGCGTGGCTAGCAGTGCAGAAATACTGGTTGTTATCTTCCCAATGCCACCAGAGGAGAGAAGATCACACACTGATGCGGGCAGATAGCAGGACGATACTGTTTCTCTCTTCTGCCCTACCTAGCATAGCGAAGGCATTCAGCGAGCCGCATACCAGGGACAGCTGCCCCCGTGCACCGAGAAATACCCTTTGCACAGTGAGATTTTGCTATATGACTGCAGAGTACTGATCTGCTAGGAAACAGCTGTTACCGTAAAACCTTCTGCTACAAGATTTTGAAAGAAGAGAGGAGAATAGCATAAAGGTTAGTCCAAAAAACTGCTTTCCTGCTACAATTCTTTGTGGTGGCTTCATGGTTTCTTTCCCCCATTATCTTGCATCTTCCAGATAAGACAGCATAAGCCTGTAACGCCTTGCCACCTGCTCTACAGATGTAACCCTGAATACAGGGGAGTGGGCCCCACTGAATGTTGTGGGGCGTGTTGGCAAGTAAATATGCTCAGGGCTGTTCAGCAAGAGAGCCACCTCTTATTGGAAGCATTCGAATGCCTGGTGGAAAGAGCAAAGGTGGCTAGAGAGGAGCTCTTGCTGGCTGCAAGACCATTGCGGAGGCGCCTTCCTTGGAGTCTTTCTTGCCACCCCCATGCAGCCCTTCATCAGCATTAGGGTCTCCTTGTGTGAAGGGTTGATCTTGGTGGCAGTGCATGTGAGGGGGCGGTGGGCAACTGTCTTCGCTGTCCTCCTCCAGCTTCCCCACTGTCAGAGCAATACGGCAGTGGAGCCAGCTGCCTAGGGAGGTGGTGGCCTCTCCCACACTGGAGACATTCAGGGTGCAGCTGGGATGGTGTGACTTGGTGTCCTGCAACAGCAGGGGCTGGACCCAATGGCCTTCATGGCCCCTTCCAACTCTACCATTTTATGACTCAATGATCTTTTAAGCCTCATTTCCCCCATCTTGGGCTTGCAGGGCAGGGGAATCATCGAGCCTGGGGCAGGCAGGCTTCAAGGGTTACTGTCATGGGGGGTATGGCTAAAAATGAAGGGATACATCATTTATTATTGCTATTATTTCATTTCTACGCCATCTCACAGCAAAAGCTTCCTGGCCCAACCGGGTTTACAAAAACCTAGGGCAGTAAAAAACAGTGCAAAATAAGTAAAATGCAATAAAAATGAGATGCAATTAAAATATCACAAAAGCAGAGAAGCATTAGAAAGTTTTAAAACAGCTAGAGCCGTTTGGTGTCAGTGGGTCCTGCCTTCATCCTCGCCATGTTTTTGCCTGCCCTGCTTGCATGACTTTGCCAGGGGAGCAGCTCTGCTCTCAGACTGGGACAATTTTGCTGGTATAGTCCTCTCCTGCTGGTGGTGTATCTGTCGATCTGCTGGCACAGTAGGGCTTATACCAGTCCCTGCAACCCTCACCTGGCAGATGGGGAGATCAGTATTTCATCCTGAACGCAGTTCTAAAACATGCTGCTAGTAATGATCTTTTCTCTGTGCATTTTGTCCTGGCCTAGGTAAAAATGCCTCCAAGGGGATCATTTATTACATTTCTGGTCTATCCGATAGCCAAAGCTGTCTGAATCAACCACAGCATTTCAAACTATATTGTGCATACAGAGCAATAAAACGAAAGAGGAAACATTGAGAGAGTGACCCGATGGCCCCTTGGCAACACCTGGGCAGTCATTGGATACTTTGCTCTCTCAGATCTGAGGCTGGAAACTGAGCCCTGACTTTGGAGCTGGGAATCCACACTCTTGCCCTTCTCCCCTCACCCACAGCCAGGCCAGAAGGAGCTGCATGAGCTGCATCTCCAAGGCTGGGATGTCAGCCTGGGAGAGGGCATGAAGAGAGCATCCTGGGAGCCTGGGAAGGGAGGAGGCTGGGAAACTTGATGGCAGGATAGCTTCCTTCCTTCCTTCCTTCCTTCCTTCCTTCCTTCCTTCCTTCCTTCCTTCCTTCCAAGCATTTCAGCTAGATGGCCCAAACAGCAGTCTGGCCAAAATGCACTTGTGTGAGGTGTGGGGAACTACAGAGCACCTCAGCATGAGACCATAAGAGCATAAGAAAAGCCATGCCAAAGGTCCCTCTAGTCCAGCACTCCATGCATACGGTGGAAACCAGCTGGCCGCAGAGTCCCTCAAGCAGGATGGGTCAAGACCTCCTCCCACCCAGGCTCCACAGCAACTCGGGTAAAGGATCCAGGGGTCTCATGCCACTGATAGCCCCCTCCCTCATTCATCTGCCCAATCCCCTTTTAAAGCCATCCAGGTTGGTGGCCATTGCCACGTCTCGTGGCAGCAAATGTCATAGTTTTACTATATGTTGTGTGAAGAAGCACTTCCTTCTATTTGTTCTAAACCTCCCTGCAATCAGCTTCATGGGATGACTGGGTTTGAGTGTTATGGGAGAGTGAGAAAAATCTCTCCCTCTTCACTTTCTTCATACCCTACATTATCTGAGACCTCTATCATGTCTCCCCTTACTCTCGTTTAATCTAAGCTGAGCAGTCCCAGTGGCTGTAGCCACTCCTCATAGGAGAGATGCCCCAGCCCCCAGCCATTTTTGTTGCCCTTCTCTTTGTTGCCCATCCATTACTGTGATGGAACTTTTTCCATCACAGTAATATCCCTTTTCAGGTAAGGTGACCGAAACTCAAAACAATATTCCAAGTGCAGCTGCACCAAAGATTTGTATAAGGGAAGTGAGATCTTGGCAGTTCTATCTCCTGTTCCATCCCTAATTATGCCTAGCGTGGAGTCTGCCTTCTTCATGACGGCTGGCAGGTTCACTCAGCTGCCCTCTACTACCCCGAGATCCCCTTCTTGCTCAGTCACTGCTAGCTCAGGTCCCATCAGTGTATACTTGACTTGGGATACCTTTCGCCCCAACATGCCTTACAGCACAATGGCTTATGTTGAAATGCATTTGCCATTTTGATGCCCGTTCTTGCCCCTTGGAGAGATCCCTTGGAGCTCTTCACTACCCTTTTTGTTTTTAACCCCTCTGAATAATTTGGTGTCATCAGAGAACTGGGCCCTTTCACTGCCTACTCCTAATTCTAGAACTACTCCTCCTGTTCTGGATTGGATGCTTGTAAGACTTTTGAGCATAATTGACAGATTTGCACCCTTAGAAGTCCAAAACTACCGTAGGAAACCAAAGCAAGGCAACACCCATGGCAGCTGTGCAGAGAGTGAAGCATCACTGTGGGTGCCCCAGTCCAGACCGGGTTGTAGCACAACCTTTCCAAGGAAGCTGGCTCTTTTACCTTGAAGTTTGGGTGTAGCAATTCTACTGTAGCTATAGCATTACTACCACTGAAAACGCCATATGGATTCAGCCCCAGTGTTGGATCCAGTTGGGTTCGCACGATCCTTTTCCATCACCAGGTGACTAATGGCATGGCAATGATTGTGTTGGAGAGTCATCTATACCTCAGTCCTGCAAATGGTTGAACATGCGGTAAATCTCTGACCAACACTTACACAGAAAGGGAGATTTGCTTCTTCATTTCTTGGGCTCACACAATGCTTGCTGAGATGTATCCAAGGCATGGATCTCCATTCCATGAGTGGACTGCAAAAGTCATGAATGTGAATGCAGCCTGGGTTCATGATGCGCTTCCATTTTCTTCCTGCTTGCAGGGGAAAGAGGAGTGAGGGAGAGGAAGCAGCGGATCCACGATGACTGAGATGACACCAACAACTCTGTGGCCACAGAACAACCGTACTGGCTGCAAATTTGATTCTCAGTCAGGGGCCGTGACAGTCTACATCATCAGTCAGTTTATCTGCCTCTTTGGCCTGCTGGGGAACAGCATTGTCCTTTGGTTTCTCAGGCTGTTTATCAGGAAGAACCCCATCATCCCTTACATCTTCAGCTTGGCACTGGCAGACGCTGCCTATCTCCTCTGCTGCCTGGTGATTGTCAGCATGTTCAACGCGGCCCATTTTAGCAGGTCCCCCTTCCCGCAGGCCTGGTGCCTGCCCATACTGATCTTGTTCAAAGTGGAGCTGAGCTCATACAGCACTGGCCTCTACTTGCTCACAGTTATCAGCGTGGAGAGGTGCCTCGGCGCCCTTTGCCCTTTCTGGTACCGTTTCCGTCGCCCGGAGTGGGTGTCTAGTGCTGTCTCTATAGGGCTGTGGTCCTTGGCCATCCTGCAATCTGGGCTGAGCATTTTTTTCTTGTGGGAAAGATCAGTAAATAGAAAGATAGACAAAGCAATCAATGCCTTCAACCTCCTAATTTGCACCCCTGTTATGATTCTGTCCAGCTTGACTCTGTTTGCCAAGGTGAAATGCTGCTCACACCCACAAAACCAACCAGGACACCTCCATATGACGATTTTACTCACTGTCTTCTTCTTTGTCCTTTGTGCTGTTCCCCTCAGTGTAATGACTTTGTTCAGGGAGTATGTTAATGGGTTCCCGGGTATTTTTTACTTGCTTGCCTCAGTGAACAGTAGCATCAACCCAGCTATTTATTTCTTAGTAGGCTGCCACAGGGAGAGATGGTTTAGGGAGCCTCTTCTTCTCATTCTTCAGAGGGCCCTAAAGGAGGAGAAAGATTCCAAGGTGGAAGAGGAAAGCATAGATAAAAAACAAGCGGCCACTCTCAGACAGCCTGGACTGCTCAGTTTGCACAATACTTAATCTGGCTTAAGTTTGCTCCCTGGAGTTAAATATAGCACACAGACTGTTTTCGAAAATGCTACAGGAAAACCAAAACCACTTAATGAAGTTAAAAAACAAACAAACCCAATTATTTTTGTCAAAAGCCTTTTCAGTGTCCAAAGAAACAATGACAGACCGGTTTGTTCCCTCACTGTTTGAAACTATCAGATCAACAAGTAATCAAAGGTTATCAGCCCCCTGTCAGTTTTTAATAAACGCACCTGAAATGTCCAAACCATGCATTTTAATCTGTGGATGTCTTAAGAGAAACACATCATCACAACGAGCACTTGGACAATTGGCTTTCTGATTACTAATCCATACCAAGTGTGACATATCACAAATGATCAAGTTTACTTTGAAGGATTTGATTGATGAAATATTATGGGCATTTTAAAAGTTAAGTTTGCGAGTCATTTTCTAAATTGACTCTAAGGGGACATCCATATTTAAAATTGGTAAGAAAACATTTTTGTGGTGGATTTGAATGGATAAAGTAGGTTTCACCTTTGATCAGTTAGTAGGAGCTAATAATGAATTTTTATCATCCTTGGCTTTGAATGCCAAATATGATTTTCCTGCAATGGCTGAATAGCGATATGTGCAATTGCAACTTATGTTAGACTCTAGGCTTGGTCCTGCCACTTTTACAACTTCAGAGTCTCTTCATTATTGGTAGCCCTTTCAGAATTTGAATAGCTATATTAGTGCACGTTCTATGTTTATAAATATTTATAACCACTGAATAAATATGGTATAGAGGGTTTTAAGCAGAAATGGAACCAGAACTGGACTTTCCCATTGGCCCAAATGATAGTTCTCTGCTTTAGCATCTGTATCTCCAGTGTATGGGTGTCAGGTTGTGTCTTCCTCAACAAAAATTCTTGTTCCTTGTCTGTCGGATGCCACATCTTGCCTACCCAACATTTGCACTAACTGCTGGTAGTGCAACACAGCTAACGCTTCTTTTCATCATACGCTCTGGTAATGCCCAATAGTTGCCTCTTCTTGGGAGGAGGTTATTATATGGGTATACTTTGCACTGAGATAGTCTTTAATGTTTACTGGTGCAGATGCCCTCTTAAGTTACCTGCATTGCTTCCTGAAAGTTAATGGACAGTCAGTGCAAATGGATTCTCTGTGTCCTTATGACAGCTAAAAGGTTGATTGCAAGGAAAAAAATGTTCAGATCCTATATCGCATTGGCTTGAAGACGTAATGATGCTCTTAACATATGAATAGTGGGAATATAGCTGCTACTTGCAAAGGGATGCATATATTTGGTCTCCCATTGTTGAAGTTTATGTATCCTTAGAGTATTTTCTCTCTCTGTTTCTCACTCTGTCTTCATTTGCATGTATTGAAATGTATATGCCTAAATCTATGGAGTGACTTTTTCTCCCATTTTATGGTTTTTGCTTTGTTGATATTATATAATAAAAATATTTTAAAAAATTCATGGTATTAAAAATCATGCCACGTTTTCATGAATAGAGGTAACCAAGCAAAACTGTGCCCTATCACCTGGGAAGTTGGTTGTCTGTACAACGAACTAATCACAACCAATCCTTGTTGGGATTGTCTGGGGCAAGTGCCATGCAGCTTAAGAGGGAGGTCCTGTGCACCCACGATAGGCAACGTGGTGCCCGTGAGCACCGATGTCCCTGGGTGTCTTTCATGGTATCCACCAAAGTGTCCTCTCCCTCCCACTTTTTAAAGCATGGACACCTTTAGCGGCAGCGTGTTGGGAATGAGATTTCATGGTGTGTACTCAGAAGACTTTGCTGTGTACCTGTTCTTCTTGGGCAGGGTACTTGTCCTTTGCCATGCTATGGTAGGTCCCATGACAGTTCCTCAAGTTGCCAAATGTACCGCAGTCCAAAGTGTTTGCCTACCCCCACAACACACATTTTCCAGTGGCACTTAATTGGATAGGATGGTGCTATTACTTACTCATAAGTTGAACACTCTGAGGCTGCAATCTTATACCTACTTACCTGGAGTGAAATGGAGCCAAGAGATTTACTTCTGAGTTGACATGCAGAGGACTGTGTTGTAAATTATTATTAATAATGAATAGGCAGAGGAACTAAATTCTTGCAACTAATCCCTGGAAATGCTTCTTCTGTGTCCCTTAAAAGCTAATAATAATTTTATTTAGGAAACAAAGATTTGATAAAGTTTGCTCTATGATGTGTTAGATTATGAAGTGTTGAAGAATGAGTGAGACTTTTCCTTTGCTGTCTGAGCCAGCAAAATGTCTTGGGAAAGATCTGGGGTTGAGGAAACTCATACCCTAGAACATTGAACAGTAGGTGGTTAGAATATTGAGCCCCCAGAATATAGTGTTATGTGACGTTTGGATTTTCCCAATGCGCAGGGCCCTGTTTGGCCTACCTGAGGTGAATGACAAGATGGTACCTCTCATTTCCAACTGGGTGGGCAACTGGACTTGCTTTGACAGAGGGGACAAGATAGTATTCTTCTGATTGATTTATTTCACTTATTTATTTAATTAACACGTGGTCCTTCCATGAGAAATGGGACTCAGATTAGCCTCTTCATGGCTCCTGAGCACAGTGGGCTAGCTTAGGGGGCACAAGGGGGGCCATTCAGCTCACCAGTCTGTTCTTCGATAGAAGGGAATTAGTGTGTTCCTACAGCTCCCAGCATCCTCTGCGTGAGGCAGCTGCCCCATTCTGTCTATTGATTGGGCTGTTTCTTGCTCTGCCAATGAGAATGGCAGAAGGCCTTCAGCACAGGTATCCCCTCACCTTCCACATGGTCCCGGGATACCTGCTCTCCTTGTCTGGGTCCTGGCGGGTAGGAAGGGGAAGCAAACTAAGTGCAACAATGCTTCACTCTCTGAGCTGGAGCCATGGAGGGGAAAGTAGTACCCTTAATGAGACAAATGAGACCACCCTCCAACAGTCTTTCAAAAGAGTAGCTAAGAGGAGGCGCTCAGCCCTCTCTGGATCCGGGCAATTTGAACATCCACCCAGTGCTGCTTCTAGCGCCCAACTGCTTTAATTTGGTTCAAGGAGCAACAGCCCGTGGGGCTTGCCAGCTTTGCCCGTGATAAGAACCAAGCAAGGTTTCCATTGCCAGTTTAGCAACCCTGTGCTGGACAGGTGTGTGATCTTAGTGGCAATTGTGGGACAATTATTTGCAGTGTGGCATAATGTTGTCTCCATTAATTTCCCTGGATGTGATTAGATTAGCAGCAATCTGCCCAAGGGGGAGCAAAGAACCCTGTGACTTGAGATGGTCAGGCATACGGATTCTGCACCCTCCTGATGTATTTCTGACCCTCCAGCAGGACGCACGAAGGAGAAACCATTTTGCACAAACATTGTCAGAGGCGTAACCGAAGAGTCAAAAAGAGCACTGTGGCTTCCTGCCAATACTTTCCCAAAGTAATTTCAAACTTGGTTCCTTCTTTGGCTCTTGTCCCTTTTGTGCATCTTGCAGCCCCTGGGATCTTATTATGCTTCTGCACAAGTGTCACTGTTCATACTCTGTAAACAAAATGGTTCCTCTCCCGGCCCCATCCCTCCCCTCCCCAAAGATTCTGCCAGGGTGCAGATTTAGGCGGTACCAGGTAAAGCTAATGAACATCTTCCAAAAATGGAAGTTAATTATTGTGCTTTCCTGAATGAAAGCAAATTAAAAGATCACAATCTAAGGAGGTGAGTCATCCTTCCTTTGGTACAGGGTTCCTGGCTACTGTATTACAAGGTAAGTCATCCTTTTGCAAGACTCCTTACAGGGACCACTGTGAAATGCTCTTCCAAATGCAGCTTTTGCAGCTTCACCTCCAGATCAAGGGCCTCTTTGCCAGCTCAGTCCTCAGTACCATAAAATTCCAACAGTTCTGTCCATCTCCTCTCTATCCTTGTATTGTTTACAACACATTACTCCAGGGCCAGTTAGAAACTGCAATGAAAACTGAAAATACAAGCAAGGTACTTGTTCCTTCTCTCTTTTTCTTTTTTAAAAAAGTGTGTGTGGGTGTGTATTGCTTGCATATTAGATACTCTAGCTATTTGTCCCAGTTTCTTTTTATAACATCTGTTAAAATAGCATATACACAATGAATTTATTGTTTAACCAAAGATGTCATAGCAAGATGGGAAATAAACGTACAGTAAAATTGGCTACCTGGGGCATTACAATAATCACATTACAGTAAAACTGGAGCATTCTGCAAGAGGATGCAATGACCCCAAATCTCTGCTGTGATCCACCATCACGTCCGCCCTCCCCCTCTGCCATGCTGCTGCTGCTGCTCCATCCGTTTTTGCAGCTCTAATCCAGGGCACACATTCATATTGCAGCAGCAGATTTGGATTTAATTGCTCAATGTCAGTACAACTCTCCCATGCGCTGTCTGTATGCATCAGGGCGCAATACAGCTAATTTCCTCCGACGTTGGATTGTGATCTTAGCTTGCCACATACTGCTCCTTACACTGCACGCAAATGCCCACCAAAAGAAAGATGAAAAGCCTCAGCAAAAGCAAGGACGCTCCGTTGAATTATTATTTGCAGGTGTGCATGTGAAAATTTGGAAATAATACTAGTATTTAAATAGAAGGATAACAAGTTACACCGTGGTAGAGAGACTGAGCAGCTAACCTGTGTGTCTTCAAGGCCGCTCCTAGCACTTATCGTGCTTGACAGCTAACTGGGTTGATTTGGACAACTCTTCAAAGGGAGGAGACCTTCAAAAAAAAGGATTCTCCTCTCCTAGCTCTCCAAAGTAGAGGACTCTCCTCTGTAAAGTAGGACTTCTGGCCATCCTTGCTGTTTTACTGCAAAGAACTCAGTGAGGTCCTCCTTTGGGGTGGGCAGCATAAGGGCCACATGGGGTCAGTTTTTGTGGCTCTCACTTGGTTGCTGTTACAATTTTAGCACCATCACAATCAGGCTCCACACAGCTGCTTGGGAGACCGTGGAGAGCTGGATTTTGCAGGGAAACAGGGTCTCTGGGATTTCAGCCATGCTGCTCACTACAGCAGTAGCGATATCCAAGTGGCCCATGTGTTCCTCATGAGAGGCAGCGTGGCCCCCTAGACCTAGAGAACTGCCCACTCCTGCATTAGGGGGTCTCGATACATTTTCATTTTGCCCCTGTTATAAAGAGAGTGCTGAAATCTGCACCACTCAACAATGTAAAGAATTTTTGATCATTTACCAATGCCTCCTTTACTATTTTCAGAAATGTTGAATGTATAGTTTGTTTGCTTGTTTATTTATTTAAAGTGTTTATATGCCATTCCAATACTAAAAGTCTCTGGATGGCTTAGAAGAGTTTGCTCATGACTGTAACATGGGCCAGAATTGAGTAACTGGGCCAATTTCCAGCCTCATCAGATAGGAAGTTACTACATATTTCTGTGCTCTACACTGTGTCAGAAGTCACAGTTTTTCAGGGGATCATACTGCATCCATTCCTTCAACTGTCACACTCACATACGGTCTGCAGGCTAATCTGATGTGTATGCAATGGAGTTGCCTAAACGGGATGGGATGGGATGGGAGGGGTTTACTGTTTATGCTGCACTGAAATATAGAAACTGTTAATTACAAAGGATGGCATGATTTCAATCCTACCTACAACATGTACTGATTTTCCTACTTTAAGTTGTTGACCTTCTTTGATTAGTTCTCCTCCCTGTTAATTTCTGGATGGCTTTTCTCCCAAACACCCATAGAATGCAGTTGATTGCTTAATAAAATAATTAGCTGAGAGTGGGTGATGGGGTGGATTGATTGAGGAAGAGTGGGATGATGGATATTCAGGTCGTATCAACTTTATTGTATGCATTCTGAAACTCACTAAGCCGTGGTGGAACTCATATGCCCTGAATCAGGTAGTGGAGGTAGAAGGAACTGTAGCACTGCTGGCTGTTGGTTCATAAGTTTTAATATACACGAGAGAGAGAGAGAGAGAGAGAGAGAGAGAGAGAGAGAGTTCTCAGCAAAGAGAAGCCAATCTCTGCCGTGAGTAGCTGAGCTGCAACAACTTTGCTGTCTGCTGGGCTTATTTTTCTTTACTTGCAGAGAGCTTAATTCCCCCCCCCCCCGCTCGCTCTGCAGGCGAATATTAAAAAACACAATCTCTCACCATGGTTCAGCATGGTAAGAATCCACTCTGCCACCTCCAGACTTCACCCTGTGATGCTCTTGCGTGTGCACCAACAGTACATGCCAATTCTTGAGTATGTTCATTGTGTGTTCTTGCAGGTCACCTGGACATACCGCTCACCACATCCCCGATGAAGAACGCTAACAATGTGACTGAATTTGTCCTCTGTGGCCTCAGCTCAAATGAAGAAGTGCAGAAAGCATGCTTTGTGCTCTTTCTGCTCTTCTATCTCGTCATCGTGCTGGGAAACCTCCTCATTGTTGTCACTGCAGCCTTCAGCTCCCGCTTGAATTCTCCCATGTACTTTTTCCTCAGCTACTTATCCTTTATAGACATCTGCTACTCCTCGGTTACAGCCCCGAAGATGATCACAGACTTCCTGGTGGAAAAGAAAACCATCTCCTTCATAGGCTGCATTGCACAGCTCTTTGGCGTCCACTTCTTCGGCTGCACAGAGATCTTCATCCTCACGGTGATGGCGTACGACCGGTACATCGCGATTTGTAAGCCGCTGCACTACACCACGGTGATGACCAAGAAGGTCTGTGGGCGGATGGTGGCAGCCTCGTGGCTGGGAGGCCTCGTGCATTCCCTGGTGCAGACTCTGATCACCACCCAGCTTACGTTTTGCGGTCCCAACAAAATCGACCATTTCTTCTGCGATGTCCACCCTCTTCTCCAACTGGCTTGCACAGACACCTACGTGGTCGGCATCATCGTGGTTGCCAACAGTGGAATGATTGCTCTGAGCTGCTTTCTCATCCTGGTCGTATCGTACATCGTCATCCTGTTCTCCCTCAGATTTCACTCTTCCGAAGGGCGCCGCAAGGCCCTTTCTACCTGTGCTTCCCATGTCACAGTAGTAATTTTATTTTTTGGCCCATGCACCTTCACCTACATACGTCCTTCCAGCAACTTTTCAGAAGACAAGACAGTGGCTGTGTTCTACACTGTTATTACCCCAATGCTGAACCCGTTAATTTACACACTAAGAAATGAGGAGGTGAAGAATGCCATGAGAAAACTATGGAGCTGGAAAGTGACAGTCTCTGAGAAAACAAAGATGTGAAAGCAACCTGCAAACATAATATTAAAATAGGCCGACCTGCCTTTTACTTTGATGTCAGGTGGAGACCTTTTTATTTCCCCAGGTTTCAGCTTTAATGTGTTTGAACCATGCTGTGGGTTTTTATGCTGCATTTGTATGTTTTATTGTTATTCCCTTTTGTATGCTTTTAACCTGCATAATTTTGTCATAAGCCATCCTGAGCACTGGCATACAGAACAGTCTATAAATACACAGAAGCATGCAAATAAACACACTACAGAAATGGTGTTGTATTTATTTATTTTAAATGATTTATAACCTGCTCTTCCTCTTTATGTGGATCAGACTCATGGACACTAAAAACCATAAGAAAATATGAAATACAATGATGAGTAATACAACTCACAGCAGCCAGAATATCTAGGAGGACTCAGAAGTCTGATAGATCATAGAATGATAGAACAGCAGAGTTGGAAGGGGCCAGAAGGCTACTGGATTCATTCCCTTGCTATTGCAGGACACTAAATCATTCCATTCCACTCAGATGACTGTCCAGACCCTTTTTGGATGTTTCTACGGAGGGAGAGCCCACATCTTCCCCAGGTAATGGGTTCCATTGTTGCATTGCTCTGACAGTGAGGAAATTCTCCCAGGAGTCTACTCTAAATCTGTTTTTTTTAAAGTCCATTATGCCCTGCACTCTGGAATGAACAAGAAGAGATCTTGTCTTTCCTCTTTGTGACAGCCATTCAGGTACTTGTAGAGTGCTATCACATCACCCCTCAGTTTTCTCTTCTTGAGACTGAGTGTGCCTAGTTCTCTCGATCTTTCCTCATAGGGCTTTGCCGCCACTCCCTGAATCATCCTTATTGTCCTCCTCTGTGCCCTTTCTAGCTTTTCTGCAACCTTTTAAAACTTAGGTGTACAAAACTGGACACAGTCCTCCAGGTGAGGTCTGGGTAGTGCTGAATATAATAGAACTTGTATGTCACATGTTTTGGAAGTGATGCTTCTGTTAATGCAGCCCAAAATAGTGTTTGTCCTTTTTGGCACTGCATCACATTGTTGGCTCATATTTAGCTTGTGATCCTCAACAACCCCAAGGTCCTTCTTATTGTTGAGCCAAGTGTTCCCCTCCTCCACCTCCACCCTATAAGGCTTTAACTGCCTTTTTAAACATAAATAATGAAGGAACTATATAGATTTCCCAGGTGTTTCAAAGATGGGGCATGGGGGCAGACACAGAAAAGCCCCCCACACATGTTAGCACCTTACCTGGAGGACCAGGGATAATGATCTCTATGGAAGATCCCTGTTCATGAGCAGGATTACATAGCGGAAGGTGTGTGGCTTCCACCCCCACCTGCAGTCCCCACAAGACCTTTTGTGGATCGGATGATATTTGTGGACACGGTCACAGACACTTACATCCTCACCCCCATCCCTGCCCAGTTTTCCTTTCTCTGTGCTGAGAGAGAAAGGGGCTTGGCCAGCCCTGCAGGTGGAGGTCGCCTATGCACCTACTCCAGAGTGCCTCCTGCTATCCCTGTTGAAGGTGGAGAAAGGCATCTGAAGGAAGGTTTGCCTGGTGCTGGGAAGAATGGCTGCTCCTCCCAGTACTGGCCCAGTTCCTTGATGCTGGCACCGGAGAATATAGTGCAAATTGCTTCATGGAGGCAGGGCTTGGAGGCCTACCCTACTCCTGCAGGAACCAAGGAGGATCCACAGGCTGGTAGTGGAAACTCCGTGGACTGCTTTGGGTCTTTGGGCCACGGTTCTGCATTCCTGCCCCAAAGCGACCCTGCTCACAATGCTCCAGTGAGGCTTGCCACTCTCTGGACAGGGCGTTTGGTCCCAGAGCCTTCAGGAACGTCTTTTCCCCAGAATCTGTCTTCAGAAAGAAGTTTGTCAGTAAAACTCTGCCTTGAATCAGGAGTTTGGAGCAACACACAGAGTGCAGGGTGGGTGGGAGAGATCCATGTACCAAGACACAAAGCAGTCTTTAGAACCCACTGTAGCAAGCTATTGCATATAAAAGGCAAACAATGGCAAGGGAAGCTCAAGGGCAACAGTTTGACACTAAGGGTTGGGGGGAGTTCCACATTTGTTTGGGCCCATATTTTTCAGTTCCAGCGACAACCTGCATTGCTCAGAAAAAAAGGGAAAATGGAGACAGGTGACTGCAAGATCATGAATGCAAAGCACTGTTAAAGGAGATCCATATAGCAGCATGAAAGCATTCCTTTGGAATGACATTTTTCTGCTCCAGCAATAATTCCCATTGAGCAGAAGTGGGAAATGAAGGCAAGTTACTTTAGAAATAGTTATGCAAAACCAAGAGTCAATGGAGAGAAAGTGCCATTCAGGAACGCAGAAAGGAAGCCCTTGGCACCCAGCATTTCCTTATCCGTAGGGAACCTCATAGAGAAAGCAAATTGGCTGAAGTTGTTCAGAAAAGAATAAATGAATGGGGAATAAATTTATACCTCCTCCTCCCAATCCCATCTGTCCCTGGGTGCTTCCAGTTGGAATGATCCTAGATTGAAATACAGCATGCAGTTATTTTGTCTTTTCCTATTCAATTGATTTATTTTTCCTGATAAGAAAAAAGCAAAAGGAACATCCATGCTGCACAGAACATACAATTGGAACACAGAACGTGAGAAGTATGAATCAATGCAGACCGGAAACTATAAAGCCAGAAATGGAATGTTTAAACATTGCAGTACAGTGGTACCTCTGCTCATGAACTTAATCTGCTCCAGGACTCTGGTCATGACCCAAATTGGTCATGACCCAAGTCCAATTTCCCCATAAGGTTCAGTGTAAATAAGGTTAATCCGTTCTGTAAATATTTTTTTAATCACAAAAATCTGAGACAAAGTAACAAAGAACAGCGACGTAACAAAGTACAGTACAGTAGAGAACACTAACCTAGATGCGGGGGAGGTTATTGCTTGGAGGGAGAGTCCAAACCATAATCGTGCGATAGAGATTGTGCTTCGGGGGGGGGGGGGGGGGGGAGACAGGCGTGATTGTGGTTGTCACCCAGTGCAGAGTTCGCGAACTAGGGCAATTTTCCCCTGAAATTTCTGCTTGCGACCCAATTTGGTCATGAACTGAGGTGTTCGTGAGCTGAGGTACCACTGTACTTGGTGCAAGTGAACTAAAGTAAACTGGAATGGGACATTATCTGTCAGACAATCACCATGTGTTTTACTGAGAGGAAACGGAGTGGCTCTCATACTGAGGCAAGAAGTAGCAGAGGCAGGAAAGGGCTATAATGCAAAATTTGACTGAATAATATCAATATGAATTCTCAGGAAACTATCAACACAACCTTCATTCAAATCTATGCCCCAACTACACTTGCTGAAGAAGAATGTATGAATTTAATTTTGAGGCTTTTTTATCCTGCCCTTCACAATGTCTCAGAGTGGTGATACAATAAATAAATAGGATACAGCTTTGAAAAATTACAATAAATAAATAAAATCCAATGTAAAACACTATTAACATTTAAAATAATGGGAAAATAAAAAATGACAACTTTTAAGCAGCTCTCCAACAGGAAATTGATAACATGCCAAATCAACAGAGGTGACTGGAATGCAAAAGTAGGAAACAAAACAGAATCCAGTGTTGTGGGAAAATTTGAAAGAAAGCCTAGAAGGATGACAAAGAAACACTCACAGTTCTACAGGACAGGCAAGAAGTAAAAGGTGACAGAAATGAGGTCAGAATCCCAAATGTCACTTTTCAGTGAATATCACTTAGAGACAAAAAGGACTATTACAATGGCAAGTGGAAAGAAATAAATGAGAACAACAAAAGAGGAAAAATCTCTTCAAAAAAATCAGAGGGAAAATCCAACCTAGATTAGGAATGCCAACAGACCAACAGGCTAAAATAAAGAGAAAGTGGAAATGATATACAGAAGAATGATACAGAAGAGATAGAAAGATGACAGAGTCCTTCAAAGAGGAATCTTATGAGGAAGAACCTGCAGTATCAGAAAGTGAAGTAAAAGCTCCCAGAGTGGATAAAGTATCAACAGCACTATTCCAAAATGCAGAGCCCAAATCTGTTCAGATCCTATGCCAACAAATAGGAAAAACAAAACAATGGCTCACAAACTGGAAACATCATTCCATATACACTCATTTCTGCAAGAAAGGAGATGCAAAGGAGGGCAGCAACCACAGGGCCATTGCACTAATATTCCATGCAAGCAAGGCTATGCTCAAGGTATTGCAACAATATATTACCCTACATAGAGTGAGAAATGACTGACAATTAAACTGGATTCTGAAAAGGAAGAGATACCTGTGATCGTCTCACAAATATAATTTGTCTACTGGAGCACACCAAAGAATTTCAGGAGATCAGTCTGTGCTTTCTAGACTATGTCAAGCCTTTGACTATGGATGGATCTGAAACAAATGGGTGTGCCTCAGCACTTACTGTCCTGATATGCATCCTTCATTGTGGAGAAGAAGCTATTTTATCTCTCTTTCTGTTCAGTCTGTATGCAGTACTTATCACAAGGAAAGCTGGATTAAGATCAAAGGAAGCAAGAGTAAAAACTGGCAGAAGATACATCAATATTTTAAGAAATGCAGATGATGCTGTACCACTGGCAGGATGTGGCAATGAAGCAAAGCAAATCCTGAACAAAGTGAAAGAAGAAAGGGCAAATGCAGAACTGTAGCTGAACATTAAGAAAACAATAATCATAATTACAGAAGAATTATTCAACTTTAATGTCAGCAATGAAGACACTGAACTTGTGAAAGATTGTGTGTACCTTGGCTCAGTCATCACTTCAAGGGGAGATAGCAGTTAAGAAATTAGAAGGCGGGGACTTGGAAGGGCACCAAGGAAGGAGCTGGAAAGATCATCAAGTGTAAGGATGTTTCACTGAAGACTAAGGCCCAGATCACCTCCATGATTGTATTCCTGACCACTCTCTATGGATGTGGAAGCTCAACAGCGAAGCAAGCTGACAGGAAGAACAGTGA